TCTCCAGTCCAGTGTTCCCTCTGAGCTGAGTTAGTGTGAGCTAGCTCACAGCTTTTCAGCCTCCAGCTCACACATTTTTGTCTTTGCTCAGGAAGGAGGGCTCCAGAGCAAACTAATTTATGTAGTAGCCAAATCGCTCGCTCACAGCTTTTATGCCAGTAGCTCACAAAGTTGAATTTTTGCTCACAGGCCTCCACAGCTTAGAGGGAACATTGCGAGTCCAGTCCAGGCCCTGCAAGGAGCCCGACCGGAATGGTTTGCAAAGGCAAAGTAGCGCCTGCAAAGGAAAGGGGGGGGGGAGCAAACCGAGAGATTTCCCCGCCCAATTAACAATCCCCCCACCCCACAAAGGCGGAATCCCAAATGTCCCCTCCTACCTGGGGAGCCCCCTCCCTTCCTCCCTCCCTCCCTCCCTTCCTTACTTACTTGCGGGAGGCAGCAGAGCCACTGCCCCCAGAGCCCAGGCGACTCGGGCGCAGAGGAAGGGGGTGGGAGACCGACGTGCACGGAAGAGCAAGGCCATTCGCCGCCCTCCCCGAACCGGGATCGAGGCGGGCGGGACTTCCGTGGGAAGAGTGCGGGGCGGGGAGCCTTCTTTGGGGGAGGGAAGGCGAGAAGGACGCCGCGTCCTTGGAGGAAAACGCTCGGGAGTGCCGCGAGTTCGATGGGCTTCCCCCCCCCCCCGGGCCTGCTTGGGGGAGAAGGGAGGGACACACCAGGTAAGTGTGGCCAGCAGGGTCGGAGGGCAGGCCATATTCACGCACACACCAGGTCTTCGTACCCCTTTAAATAAGTTAACATAAGAGAACATGAAGAGAAGGCAGTGCTGGATCGGGCTTCCAGTCCAACACTCTGCATGTGTTCAGACGGGGCATTTACAAGGGTATAGGTGCCGGTTGCAATCGGTGTACTTACCGGCGTTCACACAGCCAACGTCTGCCTTTCGTCCCTAACCGTTGCAAAGAGCTTTACACCGTTGTATTCTGCCACTAGGTCCCCAAGTGGTGGTATCCTGAGTACAACGGTTGTAATCGCTGTCCCCTGCCTCATCGCTCTCCACCGGTGTCTAGCCACTTCCCTTCGGAAGCCTGAGGCTTCCGATTTTCGCCCGCCATTTTTTTTTTTAGTAGGCGATGTGCGCTTCGGCAAAGCTTCGCCCTGGTGTTTGTTTGTTTTTTTAAAAAAGAAAAGGGCCTTGGTTTAACGTTTCGGAGGAGTCCGGGACTTCAGGGAGGCCAGTTTGGTCTTTAAACTTTAAAGGTAAGTCCTTACCTTTAAAGTTTAAATGTAAGACGGGGTTTTTTGCACATGCGGAAGATCGCCATTCTGTGGATGGCTACCTATGTGCGTGCTCAAACTGAGGGTTTTTAAAAAAAACAAACGCTGACGCCAGCTGCATGTGAGCGGGCATACAGCGATGGGCTCCGCAGAATGGAGGTAAGTGTGATCGTGTTTCAGCCGGCATAAACTGCACCGGTTCCAACCGGTACAGTTTATAACGGCTGAAACGCCCCATCTGAACACACCCTCTGTGTCACACAGTGGCCAAAAAGACCAGGTGCCATCAGGAGGGTCCAGCAGTGGGGCCAGGACACTAGAAGCCCTCCCACTGTTGCCCCCCCCCAAGCACCAAGAAGACAGAGCATCCCTTGCCCCAGACCCAGAGTTCCTATCTATACCTTAAGAGCCTAAGAGAAGCCAATGTTGAATGAGGTCAATGGCCCATCCAGTCCAACACTCTGTCACACAGTGGCCAGAAAGACCAGATGCCATCAGGAGGTCCAGCAGTGGGGCCGGGACACTAGGAGCCCTCCCACTGTTGCCCCCCCCCCAAGCCCCAAGAATACAGAGCATCACTTGCCCCAGACCGAGAGTTCCTATCTATACCTTAAGAACATAAGAGAAGCCAATGTTGGGTCAGGCCAATGGCCCATCCAGTCCAACACTCTGTGTCACACAGTGGCCAAAAATACCAGGTGCCATCAGGAGGTCCAGCTGTGGGGCCAGGACTCCAGGACACCAGAAGCCCTCCCACTGTTCCCCACCCCCCCAAGCACCAAGAATACAGAGCATCACTTGCCCCAGACTGAGAGTTCCTATCTACACCTTATGGCTAATATCCACTGATGGACCTCTGCTGTTTTTTGTTACAAGTCTTCAGTAGAACAACCGTATCTGAGTCCACAAGCGCCTTGGTGACCAGTAAGATCGAGGTTTATAAGATTATGCATGGGAAAGAGCAGGTAAAGAAAGAGGTACTTTTCTCCCTTTCTCACAATACAAGAACTCGTGGGCACTCCATGAAACTGCAGAGCGGTCGGGTTAGAACGGATAAAAGGAAGTACTTCTTCACCCAAAGAGTGATTAACACATGGAATTCACTGCCACAGGAAGTGGTGGGTGCTACAAGCATGGACGGCTTCAAAAGGGAATTAGATAAGCATATGGAGCAGAGGTCCATCAGTGGCTATTAGCCACAAGGTATAGCTAGGGGCTCTGGGGCGAGTGATGCTCTGTCTTCTTGGTGCTTGGGGGGGGGTCAACAGTGGGAGGGCTTCTAATGTCCTGGCCCCACTGCTGGACCTCCTGATGGCACTGGTATTTCTGGCCACTGTGTGACACAGAGTGTTGGACTGGATGGGCCTTTGGCCTGATCCAACATTGGCGTCTCTTATGTTCTTATGTTCTTATTTGGGGGAGGGGGTATCAGGTGCTACTGGGATGAAAGGGTGGCCCCAAACTGGATAGCCCAGGCAAGCTCGGTCTCGTGACATCTCGGACGTTAAGCAGGGCCGACCCTGGTAAGTACTTGGATGGGAGACCTCCAAGGAATTCCAGGGTCGGATCACAGAGGCAGTTAATACGAAGCCACCTGTCTGAATGTCGACGCCCCACTAGAGGTCACCGAGAGTCAGCCGCACGGGTCAAAGGGGAACCTGGTGAGTATCTGTGTCACACAGCGGGGGCAGGAATGGGAAAGGTTTGGCTGCCTGACTTCTGATTTTTTCATTATCCTCATCAATGAGACTTCTGCATTGTAGAAACAAAGCCACTGAAGAACCTCTAAAGCTTTTCTGCCTTTTAAGAAAGGAATCGTGTTTGTATCTTCTTTTTCTGATAAAGAAGAGTGTTGATAGTCCTGTCCTCTGCTGCTTCCGGTACCCAAATCTTGGAACTCGTCTGCTCCACAAATCGGCTTCGAAACCTCTTGAGCTGCGTTATCCGCTGCAGTTCGGCAGTCTCTTCTTTCTGATCTCCCTTTGAAATTCCTTTGTAAGAGAACCGCTACTCCTAAGTCAGCAGCGACTGAGTGTCCTGGAAGGCTAAAATGTTCCCCCGCTGGTGTTTGCATGTTGTGGTTTCTGATGTCAAGACTGCTGCCCATTAATTCTTTGTCGAAGGGACTAGCCTGTTGTGGGTCTGTCGGTTTCTGTGACTCAAAGCCACCTTCGGAAGGGAGATCCCTCTGCCCTGATCTCTTCCGGCTGGAAGGTGGGAGGGGCAGAGGTACCAGGCAAACCGGAACCCGCTTGATCAGAGCAGGGGAGAAATGCGCCATGGCAGGAAATCAGCACCTGCTGGACTCTGCATTCCCCTCCCCCCCAGTGCAGATGGTGTCATGGTAAAGAGTGATGGACTCTAATCTGGAGAGCTGGATTTGATTCCCCACGTTTTATTTTATATTTTAAATTTTTATATTAGTTTTTAAATTTTCTGGAATGCATTGTCTGTAATTTATATCTATCTATCATCTATCTATCTATCTATCTATCTATCTATCTATCTATCTATCTATCTATATCTGTAAGCATATCTGGTCTAAGGATTGTAATAGAAATAAACTGAAACTGATTCCCCACTCCTCCTCCACATGAAGCCGCTGGGTGACCTTGGTCCAGTCCCAGTTTTCCCAAAATTCTCTCAGCCCCACCCTCTTCACAATGCTGCCTGTTGTGGAGAGCGTAAAGGAAGACGACTGTAAGCTGCATTGACACGCCTTAAGGCAGAGAAAAGTGGAGTATAAAAACTTCCATATGGCCCCCTCCATCCTATGTTTCAAACTTGGACTCTCGTTTGTCATGTCTTGTGGGGATGCGAACAGAGGGGAATTCCTGAGGGAGGGGTGTGTGTGAGAAGGTGTGAGAATGGCTCTGTTGTTGCAGCAATGTAACTCTTTCGAAGATACCTCCTTACGCTGGGACGACCTTGAAACACTGACTGTGCTTGCTTCACTGTCATAGATAACCTAACGGTATATTCACAGGTGGGGGTTTAGAACGCACAAAAGCTAGGCGGGATGATTGTGGGGTGTGATTGGACGGAACCCGGGGGGGGAGGGATTGCTTGAACTGTCTCTAACTGTGGCTTTTGATGCCAGAACCTCAGTTCTGAGGCGGTACTGGTCTTTATTCCTCAATAAACCAATCACTGCCAGAGAGTGTTGTTGAGAGTAACTTTGTCTAAGAGTCTGACACTGTGGTGGTGGGAGCACAATAGCTTCTGCCTGGACCCAAGTGCTGGGTCAGAGGATGTGGGCTGGAGATCAGTTCCCAGGCGGTGGCCCTGGCCGAAGGTTTCCTCTTGAGTCAGGCAGAGGAGAAGAGGCAGGCAGAACAGGCGGGGATGTTTCCTCCAGGAACGTCCAATTCAAGGAATGGTATTGGGCCTTATCCTAAAGTTTCCCTGCCAGATAATTTCCCGAGTTTTAATCATCCAAGTGGTAGATTTCATGGCCTCCTTCAGCAGCCTCTTCTACTAGAGAATTTCTTATTCTTCCAGATAACTCAGCAGGTCTGCTGATGGAACAGTGCAGAGTCTGGGAGTGGGGCAGGAGCCATTCCTCAGTCTCTTTTCCATTCCAGTCTCTTTTCCATACCCTTCTCCATCTCTGCCGTTTCAGATGTGGGGACCATCCCTGAAGATGGAAGCTACAATCCCTGAAGCGGAAGGAGCTTCCTTGGAGCAAGCGCAGCGGGCACAGGCCATGGAATGTGCCCAAGATGCCCTCTCCTTTGGTAAGGACCCCGTGTTCCTGGATGCAGTTGGGGCGCCCCATAAATGTGACAGTTAAGAGTTCGGGTCAGGATAAAAATAACTAGTTCTACGCACTACAAAGAGCTGATTTGTGGCACTCGATGTCCACTAACTCTGATGCCTTGGCAGAACTATTCAGACTGGTGGATAAACAGAGCCTCCACCTTCTGGAGCAGCAGAGCTCTGAAAACCAATTCCTGGGGGCCAGTAATACTGGGGAAATTCGGCTTCTGGGCCTGTGCTTAAAGGATGAAGAAAACAGTCATGAAGAGTCTGACCCACAAATCAAGCAGTCAACAAGACTTGCAAAACATGCTTCCTGTGTATTACAGTCTAAACTCCTACAAATCATAAGAAAATCCTAGAACAAAGATATATCATCAACGTTGACTCCGGATTATTTAACAACGTTTCAAAATTGGATCTTCCATAGGAATATTAGAGTGGGATCCATTAAAACAGAGGTTCTCAACTTGTGGGTCGCGACCCCTTTGGGGGTCGAACGACCCTTTCACAGGGGTCCCCTAAGACCATTGGAATACACAAACTTTCAATGGTTTTATGATAGCAACGAAAATAATTTTATGGTTGGGGGTCACCACAACATGAGGATCTGTATTAAAGGGTCGCAGCATTAGGAAGGTTGAGAACCACTGCATTAGAAGTTTAGCAGCATATCTGAGCCTGAACATATTGAGATCAGCGTCCTACTTTAATGAAGTGTATTAACTTTCATGACTTGTAAAGCACTTTAAGAGCAAGAGAGCTTTTATGCCACTCTAATATGATGCGGTGGCTCAAGTGGTTAAGACGCTGAACTGCAGGCTGTGGAAGGTCAGTAGTTCAGCAGTTCGAGACCCGGGTGCCGCATGATGGAGTGAGCTCCCATCTCTAGTTCCAGCTCCTGCCAACCTAGCAGTTCAAAAGCAAGAAATTGCAAGTAGATAAATAGGTACCACTTCGGTGGTAGGTAACAGTGTTCCGTGTGCCTTGGTGTTTAGTCATGCCGGCCACATGACCACGGAAACGTCTTCGGACAGCACTGGCTCTTCGGCTTTGAAATGGAGATGAGCACCGCAACCCTAGAGTTGGACTCGACTGGCTTTCGAGCAAGGGAACCTTTACCTTTAATATGCCTGAGGAAGATCCAATTGGCCACATGTATAATCCCTGAGGCTCATGGGTACCATGTGCTTCTCTTCTGCCTCTCCCAGCATTCAGTCAGAAGTGTTTAAAAATGTGTTGAGTGTACACAGGAAAGGGGTTGTGTGAAGCAGGGAACAAGGAAGCAAACACCCTTCCTTCCTCTTTTGTCTCAGGAACAGGCAGTGAAGAGATGCTGTTGAGCCATCATCTTTTCAGAGGTGTGGAAATGGCTGCCGTAACTCCAGTCCAGGTAGGAGAGATGAGTGTTCAGGTATTCTGGCAAGGGAGTGACTGAATCAATAGAGAGAGACCATATGTGAGGTCCTTGCTTATAGGGGCGATGGTTTTACTTTTAAAACATTCTCTATGTACATAAACTTGGTAGTTTTCTGCTGCCATCAGGAATTTAAAAATCCAATTCTCTCTCTTTTGCTACTATGACCTAGGGTCTGGGCACTTCAGAGGACTATGTGGCCCTGAGCAAGTACTGTACTGATTTCTGGGATAAGTTTGAACAAAAATTGATTCATTTAATAAAGAACAAAATAGTTTTCTGGCTATTTTGAACTGTTGCTGAAGAAGGGAACTTGTTAATATAACTGGCAAAGCTTGGTGCTACAGTCTCTCAAACTCTGAACTCTACTCTGACAGGCTTATATACTCAGTATACTCTCTCTCTCTGTCATATATATAGCCACACAGGCTGGTCTCTTTGTTTTATTCACACAGAACAGAATCGACTCTTAGTCACACAGACTAAATTGTTGGTCTTATTCACTCAGAAAAAGACTCAGAATCCCATAGTCACACAGACTATGCTCACTCTTCAAACTTCACACACAGAATTCTTTAAAACTCTCCCAAACTTGTCTCTCTCAAAACACATCTCCTCCCACACTCTCAGTCATCAGCCAGTCAAAATCACACTTCTCTCCCTCTATCACTCTCCTTATATTACTGCAGTCAAATCCAACATTTAAAGAAACACACACCAAAACATAAAATCATTACACCATAGTTCTCAAAGAAAACCAGGTTATGTACAATATAAACTTCCTAAAGACAGAAAGCACTTTACCACTTACGTGTCTTTTAGGATAAAAACATAACATTTCCACATTCAGCATAGGAGGAGGAGGAGAGGTGGAGATTGGATTTATACCCTGCCCTTCACTCGGAGTAACAGAGCAGCTTACAAACTCCTTTCCTTTCCCCTCCCCACAACAGACACCCTGTGAGGTAGGTGGGGCTGAGAGAGCTCTTTCCACAATTGTCTTTGAGAGAACAGCTGTGAGAAAACTATGGCTTGCCCAAGGTCACCCAACAGCTCTAAGTGGAGGACTGGGGAATCAAACCCGGTTCTTCCAGATTAGAGTCTGCACACTTAACCACTACACCAAACTGGCTTCAAAACAAACCTAGTGCATGTGTGTGAAATACAGAGTGCCATGGTCTAGTCAACAAGAGCTCACAGATAGCTGACTGAAGACCAGGCCAGAGCAAAGAAGTCTTCAACCGTTTATACCCTCAGTACCCAAAGTTCAGCCCACATGGAGTAACACACTTTTAGCAGAAGAATATCAAAATAAAAAGAACAATATTCCCCTTGAACTCATACCCATGTTACCCGAGAGAGGGTCAAGGATGTTCTGTAAAAATTTTATCATGACCATCTTGGAAGCACAGACACCTGCTTCAGCAAGTATGTTGCAGGTCAGAACCTACAAACCTTCTCATGAGGAGTCTTTGACACAGGATGAGGGTGAGATGGCGGACCTAGAGAAATGAAAACTATTCTTTTTGGAGCAGAGCGCCTTGTCAGGCTAGAGAGAGGCTTGAGGGATGGCAGTAGCTAAGCCTGCAAAGTCTTATGGGAGAGGAACCAAACAGAGGCCTCAGCTAATCCAGGCTGTTATACAGAAATGCCCCCAGGCTCGCTAATTTTTCTGCCACAATTAGAGGAGCAGGGGACAGCATGGATCCCTCTTCCTTTCTCTGGGGATCAGTAGTGCCTGCAGTTTCTACAAGGTGTCTGGGCGAGAGATCCTCTGAACACTTGTTCCTTTACCCTGCTGCTCAAGAGTCAGTTTGGTGTAATGATTAAGTGTGCGGACTGTAATCCAGGAGAACCTGGTTTGATTCCCCACTCTGCCACTTACAGCTGCTGGATGACCTTGAACAAGCCATCGTTCTGTCAGAGCTGTTCTCTCAAGGACAGTTCTCTCAGAGCTGTCTCAGCCCCACCTACCTCTGTTGTGAGGAGGGGAAGGGAAAGGAATTTGTAAGCCACTATAATATTCCAGATGAAGGGCAGGGTATATATCCAATCTCTTCCTCCTCCTCCTTCTCAAGAAATACATCTGTATCTTCCCAGTCTATTCCCTTCCAGTGTGCAATCTCTGCCTGGCGCGGCCTCTGAGGAGGGAATTCGCTTTTTCTTTCAGGGTCCCGTTTCCTTTGAGGAGGTGTCCGTTGATTTCACTGAGGCAGAATGGGCCCTGCTGGATCTGGGACAGAGAGCTCTGTACAGGGAAGTCATGCTGGAGAACTACAGGAATGTTGCCTTTCTGGGTAAGGGTCTTTCCTTGGTGCCAAAGGTCCAAATTGCTGCCATTGTGAGGTGGCATGAATCAAAATATTGAATACCTGTTCACAGTTTTGAGGCCTGTCCTGCTACTTGGAAGGGGTGGCACTGCGGTTCCCTGGCAGAAGATCTACTTGGCACGTAGAAGGTCCAAGGTTTCGTCCCCAGCATTTCCAGTAAAAAGGATCAGGTCGGAGGGGATGTGAAAGACTTCAGCATGAGACCCTGGAGAGCTGCTGCCGGACTGAATGGGCAACACTGACTTCAGTTGAAGGCAGCTTCCTGTGTTCCTGGGTGTGTTCTTGCCCATGAGCAACAGAGGCCAGTGTTGTGGCCATCAGCCAAGGCAGAGAAGGTGTCCTGGCCTGAGGCAAAGGTCGGGATGAGAGGCCCTCAGGAGGACTCTGGAAGGGGCCAGATCTTCATTTCTCTGTTGCCCTCCTTTACACTGCACCCTTCCCCCTTAGTGAGATTTACAGACATCCGCTCTGCCTGTGACCTGGAAACAATCCTGTCAAGAACGATCCTGTCCAAATCTGGGTCTCCCTGGGTCACTCCTCTATTTGTACCTGAGCAGCACCCAGTTCAGTGGGTTCATGAGAAGAGAGCACACAAGTAGACCCCTTTTAAAATATAGAAAGGTTTGTTAAGGATTTAAAATCAAGCATCACTGAACAGCAAAGTTTCTGCAGCTCAGCAATAGAAAAACAAGAAAAGCAAACTGTTCCATCTAAGACATGCAGTCCTTGGTATTAGATGGCACCTAATGCTACAGCATAAGTATTCCAGCTGTAGCCTAAATTGCTCTACAGAAAACTATTCATCATGATTCGGCCCGATTCCCGCCGCCGCGGAATCAGGCCCTGGGGGGAACTCCCCCCCCCCGAAGCCTCCAACTATTGGGGCCACGCCCTCAACGTGATGGCCGTTGTGCGTCACTTTGGGTGACATGCTGGCGGCGCACGCGTGCACATTGACAGACAGCTCCTGGAGCCCAGCGAGGCTCCCCTGCTGGTAAAAAAAATTGACTTGGCAACCCTAATCATGATGCAGCAAGAAAATATCAAAATATACTAACATGGAATGAGGATAAATTTAGCCTAGCTTCCCTCTTGTCTATACATGTATCATACTTTCTACCTCCAAGGGTCACGTGGTCCTAATGACTCTATCAAGGGTTCTCCAGGATGGAATTTTCCAGAGACTGTCATCCCCCTCCTAATCCCCTCTCCCTCCTGGCTACACAACTGGTTACAGGTTCTCATGGTTCGCCAAATACTATGAACCAATGACTGCATTCTTGAGTCCAGCCTTGGAAAAGATAAGGGTGTTAGCTGTGGGGAGACTCAAGTCACGAACACCTGCAAATCAGAGTAGGCCACTTAATAATCACATAAACCCTTGGGGAAACTGTCATGACCCCTAGTGGGTTGCCACCTTCTTCTGCCACCACTCTGGACTTAGGGTCCCCTGGGAAGGCCCAGATTACCCTCCCAAGCCCAACCAAAACACCCCTTTTAAACCGGGAAATATTGGCATGATGACCAGGCAGAGAACATTAAACAAATGGTTTATGAATACAGTAATGGGGCAAGGAAAACAAGACGAGGTGCTTAAAATATATATAACAGTGTCTAAAGGTAAAAGAAACAAATGTAATGCAGCTACCTATTTCTCTTAACTGGTTACTATTCAAGGCCCACAGCCTTTTATACCAGGCCTGTGCCTGTACTCGCACACAGATCTAGTCCCCTTATACTGGTTTGCATTCTGGGCTTTGATCTTGACCATGGTTTCATCCTTTCAGAAGAATTCTTACTCTTGAATTTCTTTCCTTCCCCATATAAGAATGATCTCGATCTCTCTCTCTCTGAAGATTTCCTCAAGAGGATCCCAAGAACATATTTCCTTCCCAAATGAGCTAGCTCAAAGTCAGTATCGCTCATGGTTATGACATGAGAAAAGGCAAAGAAGTGTCATGGGGGATTTCTGATTCACTTCTGAGAAACATTTCGTGGAGTCATACATCCCACTGGGGAAGGAGGGAGGGCCTGAAATCTGGAGGCTCAGAAGGTTGTTCTGGGTAAGAGCTCAGCTGTGGCTCTTGAGGGGGGTCAGGTACCCTTAAATACTAGATAATCTTCGACGTGGTCTCTGTGCTTCACACCCATGGGATCTAGTGCGCATGCGCTGGATCGATCAGCATTGTAGCAAGCTCTTAATGGATTTTCGTGCCCAGACCTTGTTAAAAATATTTGTTTCTTTGTTTTGTGGAAGACTCAAATAATCACACCAAACACGGTTAAGTAAAAATGGTGTTTATCTAACTATTTACTGGTGAATGATTAAACAACAGTTTGTATATATCTAGAGTTATTTAACAGACCAACATAGAACAGACCAACTGACAGTGAGTAGCCAAATAACTGTCACTCTCAGAATCTCAGTGTACGACTAAGACAGACGCGACAGCCAATCAGACTTCAAGTTGTCTCACACAGATAAGATTGACAGAGCCCCACAGTACACACCCACATCTCTCATGCTTGAATCTTCAAGTTGTCTGCAGGCGCAACCTAACTTTACAAATATAAACTTATCTCTGCACTTGTGCCTCTACATTTCAAATCTGACAGACCTCGGGCATGCGCAGGAACCCCACCACGCATGCCCAGAGTGGTGGGCGTGGACATCCCGCCAGTTCCTTTCTTACCGCCACATTGGAAAGACCTTTCTTTCGTCGGTCTGATCGGTTCTTTGTTAGCTATTTGCCTCACGGCTCTTCGGATTTTTTCCCCTCAGTTTTTTTCATTTTTCTTAGTTTTTCTTCGTTTGTTCTTTAAAATTTTTTTAAAAAGTTGTTTTTTGTTGAAGGGGAAGTTACTGGTTTACCTCAGTTTGGCCTTCGGGCTCCCCCCCCCGCCCCTTCTTCCTTCTCCGTTTTTCTTTTTTTTTTAATGGAGAAGAAGTGGGGCTTTTTCAACCGCTGCAAGGGTTGCGGCAGTAAAGTCGCTCCACCTGACTGCCATACCCTCTGTATTTTTTGTTTGGGGGAGTTTCACCGACCTGAGTCTTTTTTTTAACCGTTTTATTTGTCATTTTTCCATTTAGTTGTCCTTTACAAACATTTTTCCTTCCAATAGCTTGAGTCTTATTTACACAATTTCAAAAAATTCAAATTTTTATACATTTGAATCTAAATTTTTCCATATTTTGTGAATCCATTCATATTCTCTTTCCCATCTATTAATAAACACACTTTCATCCTTTCCTTGAAGGCTTATAGTTAGTTTGTCCATTTCCGCTACCTCCATCAGCTTAATTAATATTTCCTCTCTTGTTGGGAGTTTATCTTGTTTCCAATATTTGGCCATTAATATTCTAGCGGCGGTCAAAATGTATGTTATTAAATATTTGTCGTTTTGGTTATAATCCTCTGGTATCATATTCAGTAGGGCAATTTCGGGAGTTAGACCCAAGTTAAACTTCATAATATCCGCAATAAGCTTTTGTATCATTTTCGAGTACTTCTCCACCTTCCCACATCGCCACCACATATGGAAAAAAGTCCCTGTATTTCTCTTACATTTCCAACATGTTTTAGGAATTGACGGTTGACACTTTGCTATCCTATCTGGTGACCAGTACCATCTATGATAAACCTTATAAATATTTTCTTTATAGCTGATCGCTTTTACATATTTCAACGATTTCCATGTATTTCCCCATTGGTCTATTGTGTACCCTATGTCTTTCATCCATGCTATCATAGTTGAGCTAACCATCTCATCTAGCATATATTCCTCTAGTAGAAAACGATATATTCTCTGTATTGCTTTGTCACTTGAGGATAACCAGATCTTGTCTAGTTGTGTTTTTGAATCTTGGAATCCTACTATTATATCTTTAGCATATCTAGATCTAAGTTGCATGGCTTCCCACTATGTTAGTTTTATTTTATATATTTTTAATAGTATTTCTTCTGATTTTAGTCTGTTATTTTCATCTAATAGTGTTTGGTAGCTTTCTCTATCACATGGGTTTATGAGGGTTGGTTTTATATAGGCTTCTAAAGGTGAGACCCATTTCGGCGTCTTTCTGTAATATTTCTCTTTCATTTCATTTCATACCCATACTAATGCTCCTCTAATCATATGCTGTTTAAAATTTGTATGTATTTTATCTTTGCCATACCAAATATAGGCATGCCAGCCGATACTAAGGTCGTGCCCTTCTAAATTTAGCATTCTGGGGTTGTCTAGCATTATCCAGTCTTTAATCCAATGTAATGCTGCCGCTTGGTAGTATAACCTCCAATTAGGTAGTCCGAATCCTCCTCTCTCTTTTCTGTTTTGAAGTTTTTTCCAATTAATTCTTGCACGTTTGGGATACCAAATGAATCTTTTTATCTCTTTATCCATTTCTATAAAAATTTTGGAGTTTTTTAATATAGGTATGCTCTGAGCCAGAAATAGGAACTTCGGTAATGTCATCATTTTTATTGCGTTTATTCTGACCATTAATGAGATCTGTAGGTTTTTCCATCGTGAAATGTCTTAATTTCTTCTATTAGTTTATAATAATTATCTTCAAGAATTGTACTGATTCTATTTGATAGTATTATACCTAGGTACTTAACTGTTTTCACTATCTCTATATTTGTTATCTTATATAATTCTTGAATTGCTTCTGCTGTACAGTTTTTTGTTATTATTTTAGTTTTTTTCAGATTAATCTTTAATCCTGCTTTTCCTCCAAATTCTTGTATAGTTTTTAGTAAGTGATGACTTGATGTTATCAGCTCTTCCAAAATAAATACCACGTCATCCGCAAATGCGAGAAGTTTATATTCCTCTCCTTTTGTCCTGAGCCCTGATATTTTAGTGTCATCTCTTACCTCACTGTTTAGCGTTTCCAGTGCGAATATGAATAACAGCGGTGAGAGTGGGCAGCCCTGACGCGTTCCTTTCTGTATCTCAATTTGAGA